CCCCCCCCCCCAGTGTAGGGAGGGTGACAACACTTACAGTATTTGGAACTTGCAGTTCTGTGAATCAGATGCCACCAGCTCTCCTTTTGCTGGCAGTTTGGACTGCAACACAGTAGATCTTTAGCATAACACAGCAACACAGTCTCTGGCAGGCAGTATACTGCAGTACTCTGGACAGCACAGTGCAATCTTTGCAGCCAGCACACAACAGGAGCCCTGGTGGTGCTCCTTTTTGGAACTCTCCCCTGAGTCACTCCCCTGAGTCTTCCTGTGGCAACTGTTTCAGCACCCCTGCTCTGTCCCCCCAGCAGTCCATGTGGCTCTTCCCTTCCACAGCACATGTGGAAGGGAAGAGCCACAGCACATGTGGAAGGGAAGAGGCTGTGGCTGCAGTCAGTAGGAGACCTCTTCAATTTGGCCTCCTCAAAAATTGCTGCCATGTTTCCTGTGTTCAGGACACATTTCTCTCTGCAATGCCCATCACGGGGAGACACGGGGGAACAGCAAGCTGCAGCAGGAGAAATGTTCTGCTGAGAGGCTTGAGCTGGTGATATATCTAAATACAACCTATGAACAGTTTTGTCTCTGACGTTGAAAGGGCTGCTAACGTGAGCAATAACTGATCTGTTAAAGCAAACAGCCTGAATAATGTACAGTCTGTGCTCATTTACCTTTAAAGCTGAACTCTAGGAATTATCTTTAAAAAAAAAAATTAGTCCAGCTTGGTTACATCTTATTCTTAATTTCTCACATCCAGAGGGCTGCTGGGAATGCAGAAATTCGCTGTAGTAGCCTGTGCTACATATAGTCAGCCTGTGCTCCATACAGTCAGTGCTGGTCTCTTCTGGGTGCTACGCAAGCAATTTGCTGTCTGTATACTGAACATAGTGGGTCACTCAGTACCTCCGTCATTCATAGAACATTTCAGTGAATACAAGGTGTTCTATGATAGGACGAGGTGGAGAGGAGGGACAGATAACATCACAATTTTACCTGAAAAACACATGGGGGGAGCATGTCATTTTTCTGTAGCTTGTGTTCTGCATATATAGAAATACATTGGTCCATTATAAGAAATGCCTATGTACAAGTAGTCTTGCTGACCAATCAGAGTACAACGGGCAGATATGAAAATTCACAGCTTTGGATTCTTTTTTATTAAAGCACACCTTGCATCCAGTAATGAATTCAATTCTGTAAAGTAAGAGAATATGGGATGCAGACGATGCTCTTGTGTGATAAATGTTTTAATGTATAATAATAATCTAGTAATGTTGTATAGTGTAAATGTTACATTCAATGTACTGAAGCGTAATAATTTTTTTTTCTTATATCATATCGTATTAAATTATTTCATGGTAATATGGCCACACAAGTGATGACACACTCACTCTTGCAGATATTTCCTGCATAATTCTGTACACTGCACTGTACATTAGAGAAATACACTCATTAAGAGTTGAAGGCTTCTGTCATTTTTGCTCAGTTGGTTTAGGGAAGAAAGTTATATTTAGAGCACAAGTGCTGTGAATGAATGCGAGAATCAATGCATACAATCAATATGTACATTGACCTATAGAGCAAGATGCTTTCAAGAAGACAACTGAACTAGATTTCTATATATTTGATACGCTCTATCTTTTTTTTGCAGACTACTTGGCAGCCACGTCTTCTGGACTTTTGCCAAATAATGCTTTTAGCACATACTGTATGTGTGTGTGTGTGTGTGTGTATATATATGTGTATATATACACTGAGTGGCCAGATTATTATGACCACCCCATCAGTACTTCGTTGGGCCACGCGATAACTCCACGAGATAACTCCACGAGATTACTTAGTTGGGCCGCCTCGTGACTCCACGAGATGTTGAAAGGTGATGCGAGGAATCTGACACTGCACTGTTGCCCTTCTGTTGTCTTGTACCAGTCTTGCCACTCTCCGTTCTGCCCTAACATTGACTAGTTCCCATAGGCCACAATTCGCACGTTCAGACCCAGATTCTGGGCTGACAGTCCAGTCTTTAAACACTTAACAATGAGCCCCTCTTGAACATTTAACGAATTCTGCTGTTTTGCTGATACTCGCTCCATGGCTCCGAGCGCCAACAATCATCCCACGTTCAAAGGCTGTTAAATCGCGTTGTTTACCCGTATATTCAGAAAAAAAAATCACTTCTACTGTCGTGGTAAACAACCTGCTTCCCTTTTTATAATGGTCTGGCCCTCTAGCAACTTCAGCGTGAAATTATAGCTAATTATAGCTAATTTGCCTACAAACGTCAGGTGGTCATAATAAACTGGCCACTCAGTGTATATACATATATAATTTTATACTACTTTATTGCAATCTTTTTTAAACCATATGCATTGGTAAGGAATACCAGTGGACGTGGTGTATCTTGACTTTGCTAAGGCATTTGATACAGTACCCCCCAGACATTTAATTCATAAACTAAGGTTTATTGGTTTGGATGAAATTGTGTGTACATGGGTGGAAAACTGGCTGCACGAACGGATCCAGAGGGTAGTAATAAATGTCATTTTCTAATTGGGCAAAAGTTCTGAATGGGGTGCCTTAGCGTTCTGTCTTGGAACCGATCCTATTTATCTTATTTATCAACAACATAGAGATTGGAATAAATAGTTCAATCTCGGTGTTTGCAGATGATACTAAACTGAGTAGGGCAGTAAATTCTTACTATTCAAAAGTTTTTATTATTTTCATTGAGGCATATACAATGACCATCTACATACTACAATGTAACAAAACAACCTATCAGTGTATAAGCAAAAACAGAGGGGGAGGAGAGGGAAAAAAAGCAACCAAAAAAGAAGCGCATAGTCTCTAAGATGTTTAGTGGACTCTTCCACGATAATCAGCAGAAGCCACTAAATTATACCATCCCATAGACTTCTTACTTAGAAGACGCTCATTGCCAGGCTTCCAGGCTTCTATAGAACCAGTGGTCCATCTTGGTCTTCTGCCTACACAGTCTCTAGTTAACACTTTGTGTTTTCCAGCCCTCAATCAGATAATCAATCAGATATAGGTAACATCCTCTGCTTCATATTGCATTTTGCTTCATATTGCATACAAAGTCCCTTAGTTAATATTTATAGTGCAGCACTGCATATGAAAATTCAGAGTCCATATCATTTGTTTTACCTCTGCTGTGTCTGTGGCTTCCCATCTGCCAGTACTGAAGATGTTAATGACCCCTCTGTACCTTATCTCTCGCAGCGCCTGTTCACTGATTTCTCTGGCTGGGTGCCTAGCTTCAGCGTGACTTCAGCGTCAGCGTCCCTCGTGTCCCTCTCCGCCCCCAGCCTCTAGCATGGTTTTTTCGAGGGGGGGAGCCGCCTGTCAGATCCCCAGAGTGCGGCCTCGTTGCACGGCCTCGGGCCGACCCAAGCCTCGTCTGCTCGTCCGAATCTAGAGCGGGACCTTGGCACCCTTCAGCCTCGATCGTGCCGTACAAAGCTTTCCTAGCTGCCGGGAAGAGGTGTCGTGCCGCCGAGGTGCAGAGCTCTCGCGCTAAGCGGCCATCTTAGCGTAGCCCGCGCATGCGCCCCCCGGGCAGTAAATTCTTAACAAGAAATAAATTCACTTTAACAGGACCTAGATTGAGACCTAGGCTGAAAGAGGACAAATGATATTTAATATTGAAAAATGCAAGGCTATGCACATGGGAGCAAAGAACGTGTACGCAAACTACTACTTGGGGGGTGCTCCATTGGGGAAGTCAAACATAGAGAAAGACCTGGGGGTGCTCATAGATCACAGACTCAGCAGTAGCATGCAATGCCACGCAGCAGCCAGCAAAGCTAACTATACTAACAAAGATACTATCTTGCATTAAAGGCGGGATTTTGGCAAGGGATAAAAACATAATCTTACCACTATATAAATCACTGGTGTGGCCTTCTCTTGAGTATGCAGTTCAATTCTGGTCACCATCCCCCAGGAAAGGCATCCACGAACTTGAGAGAGATCAAAGAAGGGCTACAAAATTAATAAAGGGGATGGAAGGCCTGAATTATGAAGAAATTAAACTTATTCTCCTTAGAAAAGAGGAGCTTGTTTACATCGAGAACTCTATTGATGACACAAGAACACAACCAGAAGCGGTGGTTTAAACTCAGACTTTGCATGGTTTTTATTTACTGTGCAAGTAGTAAAAATGTGGAATTCCCTTCCACAGTCAGTAATATCCGCTGATGGCATTGATAGATTCAAGAAACTCTTAGATGAGTTTCTTACTTCACTAAACATACAAGGATATGGAAACTACTAGACCCAAATATTTACAGACACACACAGACACACACACACACACACACACACACACACACACACACACACACACACAGGCACATGCTTAGGTTGAAATAGATGGACCTGTGTCTTTATTCAACCTTACCTACTATGTTACTATGTAATCCCCCATTTCTTGTTTGATTCACCTACATCATGGATCATGGACAACTCATTCACTTCAAAATCCCAAAGGACTACACAAGAGATTCTGTTGCTGGCAGAAGGATGGCTTGGTGAGCAAAGTAAAAATGTGCCAGCTTCTGTGAAGCCACTCCCTTACTGCCTGGACTACTGCAGCTTCCTTGCTGGAAAGGGAGATATGGGATTTCAGCCAGCAAGGGAGCACAAGACTATAGAAGCAGGTAAGTGGTCCATTTAGCATTTCATACTTTACAAGGCCAGTGCATGCTGTGTTTTGTTCTGTTAATGTACTGTACCAAATTGCCCTATTAATCGAAAGAGCTACCCACTGCAATTCACAGGTGTAGAAGATCCTGCATACATATTAAGGGGATATACCAGTTGGCCTCATGTGATTGTACTGTAAGTGCTAAGGGATTTAAATTGCTGTGCCCTAGACCATGGACTATGTTGGTTATGCATAAACTTGGTCCTGATCCCAGCTCACTAAAGCCTTTTATGATTAGGTTACCATAACTGGCAAGGAACACCTTTTTGAACTTGGATTTTTTAGTTTGGACAGTAGTGCTTTAAGGGGGCTTTCAAACAAGCCCTCTGATCTGGTTGGCCAACAGGCATCCAATCTGGTTGAAAATTTTAAGATGGGGCCATGATCATCTCCAGGCTAATGCCACCCTTTTATATGTGTCGGTGTCAAGAATTTCCCATTTCTGTATCAGAAAATTCGACTAATGCAATAGTTTGTATCAAGCCTAATTGTACTAATTGTCAGTAAGCAATTACAGTAGGTATTGTACTGTACGTATTGTGAAGCAGTACAGGAAAAGCAATCTTACAAGCTCCATTAGAGGTATCAAAGGAGTGATATATTGTTTAATCCTGTAGTATTGATTAAGTATAAAGAAAATAACAATGACATTGAATTGATGTACCAAGTACGATGATATAACAATAGAATTTCTCCCAACTTCCGCTTTCATTTAATTTTTATATCTCACCCCAGAGAGTGAGAAATTGCTTTCATTTTCACCGGCTCGCTTTTCATTTTGTTTAGGTCCCAGCTGTTTTTTAATTAAATCTTGACCCCAGGGGTTTTGGGACAAGTACAGGTTTTGACAGGTACAAAGATATTGATGCAGAGGTAGATATGGGATGATGTAGTAAAAACACTTATTTAGAATTAATAAAAAAAAAATAATTATATGAAAGTGACAGAGCAGTGTGACGCCTTTAGTACGGCTTTCAGAAATAGAAGCTATTAATAAGGGACCACTGCCGAGATGGTAATGGATGTGAGGAACCTCACTGCTGTGTAGTAACAGTCTTAGCCGTTCCTTCCCATTTAA